ATCTGAAGAAGTGGGCTGTAGTCCACGAAAGCTTATGCTCTAATAAATTTGTTAGTCTCTAAGGTGCCACAAGTACTCCTGTTCTTCTCATTATAGAAGGCAATCATGTTGGTCAGGCATGACTTGCCTTTGGTGAATCCATGTTGACTGTTCCTGATCACCTTCCTTGCCTTCGGATTCCTTGAGGACTTGCTCCATGATTTTGCCAGGGACTGAAGTGAGGCTGACCAGTCTGCAGTTCCCCGGATTCTCTTTCTTCCCTACAGCCCCATTGTGGCTTCTACCAGCCATGTTTACTACTTGCAGGGTGACTCCAACACACTGCCAGTCTGAAATTTTCCTCCAACTGTGTGCTCTGTAATGTCTAGCCCTCTCCTGAACAATTTAGAGAAACAATAAGGTTTCTTTGTTCCTCTATGGACCAAAAGAGCATCACAGCTTATTAACCTAACTGGGGTAAATACACTTTTCCTTTTAAACACAGCACTTCATTTGTTTGTAATAAAAATAGAACAAATGTATTAACTACAGCACATAGGTTAAGTGAGGCCAAGTAAAAGGAATACATTTAGAAAGTGTTAAAATCAAATAAAGATGAAAAACATGCATATAAATGTCTAAAACTTAATGTTTATTTATATCTTGTTAGGAGTTTAACAATGCAACCAGAATAGCTTGTACATGTTATTCCCTTTCATGTCTTAATTGCCTTAATTATGTATGAGATTGTGTCCAGTTAACCTTAGGATCAAAGATATAAGATACTGTAGGAAACTAATAATATTACCTACATTGTCTTCAGTTTAACTATCTACGTTATAATGAAGTATTGGGTAATTGCCTTATGTGAATGAATGGAACTAGTTTACCTGTGTATGCATAGGAAATAGAAGATTAGCTTCAAAGCAAAAATCTGCATTGCCTATTCTTTCCTGGGGGAAGGTCCTGCTGTGACAATTTCTGTGAGGCTTGTCAGCCTGCTCAAAGAGCTATAAAGGAAAGCTTCCATCCTGATCCTTTCAGCTCTAGTCTCCTTAAACTTTGAACAGTGAAAGTATAAGTCATAAGATGAAGACCTTCCAAATAATTATTTGATATACCCTGGAAGATACATGGAAGAACTTGAACAGATTCTACACCTGGACTGCCTGTTGGACTATAAATCTTTAAAATGATTCCAGAAAGACTTCTACAAATCAGCAGCCTCACCCTTTCTGCTATGAAACTGACCAAAGAACTTTACACATATTTGTATGTATATTTAAACCTTTGCCACTCTTCTTTCTTTTACTATTTACTATTAAACTGATACTATTAAGCTATTGGTATCAGTGAATTATAGGGTAAGATCTGAGACTCATAGTGACCCTAGGAAACACTAGCTGATTCTTGCATCTTTACACTTTCCTTTTTCAGCCACTTATCCATTGAATTTGTGTACAAAAGTTCTAATGAAAACACAGAGAGACTGCTAACAACTAACAAAGTAGAAAATGAGAAGATTCACTCAAGTCTCACTGAAGTGAAACAGCACTCCAGAGAGAATGACAATTACTGAGGCACCTTAACACTGCTACATGGGCTACAACGTGCTTCCGGCTGGTTTGGCTTGCAAACAGCTTTTCTTCCGCCACAAGATCTGTCCCTAGGAGGGTGTCCTGCGAGGGACGAATTAGCTTGGACCACCTCCCATGTACAGCGTGGCCCCTGCTCACTCTGCCCTCCGTAACAACTTCCTCTGTCTGACAATGAAAGGGTTCCAAGCTGCCCCATGCATGCCTGGGGTCTCAGCTGCCACCCTGCCCACCAAAGGGCTCAGGCTACTGGCCCCACGCTGGGGTCTGGGCTGCCGGCTCTGCACTTTGTGGGGCTGCTGTTGCTGGACCCTGTTGACAGCCCCAGTCAACTTAGCTCCACTGAGCTCATGCTGCAGGTCCCGCTGACTGCCGGGGCTTGGGCTGCCAGCCCCAACTGCCCGGCCCCGCTCTCCCTGGGGCTCGGGCTGTCTGCCCTGCAACCGGGTCCCACCTGCTGCCTCCAATGCCCAGGGTTCTCTGGCCGCCATTAAAGAAAATTTTCTGGTGAACCCCATGTAACATTCTGTAAACCCCCAGGGGTTCGCGAACCCCAGTTTGGGAACCACTGCTCTAGATTGTTTATGAGAATGTCAGGTGGGACTGTCCCAAAATCCTTACTAAAATCAAGTTATATCACTTCTACTGTTTCTGCCCTAACCACTATGCCAGTAACCCAGTCAAAGAAGGAAATTAGGGTGGCTTGGCATGATTTATTTTTTGACATTTCATGCTGTGTATTGCTTATAATTCTATTACCCTGGGGGTTCTTACCAATTGTTTGTTTAATAAATGTGTTCCAATATTTTCCAGGTACCCAAGTTATGTTGACTGGTCTATAATTCCCTGAGTCCTTCTTTTCCCGGCTTTTTAAATATGGTCCAGTCTTCTGGTTCTCACCCATCCTTCATGAGTTATCACTGATAAGTTTGCAGATGACACAAAAAATGGTAGAGTGGTAAATAATAAATAGGACAGATCACTGATATAGAGCAACCTAGATCACTGGTTCTCAAACTAGGGCCGCCGCTTGTTCAGGGAAAACCTCTGGGGGGCCGGGCCATTTTGTTTACCTGCCTCGTTCACAGGTTAGGCTGATCGCGGCTCCCACCGGCCTTGGTTTGCTGCTCCAGGCCAATGGGGGCTGCAGGAAGGGCGGCCAGCACGTCCCTCAGCCTGCCCCACTTCCTGCAGCCCCCATTGAGTTCAACTCAGATGAAAATCCTATAGTGTTCACTACACATCATCTGATCACTGAGGTAGCTTTCACATGCACTCTATCCAATCAACTATTTGATTCCCCTTTAGAAATTGTAAATGTGGCCTTCCTTCCTTACATTAGGAAGGACATCAAAGACATCCTTTAACCCAGCAACATCACACACTGATTATAAGTAAGTTTTTATCAGCTTGTAACCCTTTAGGTTGCTTTGCTCTGTCGGTTACTGAAACTAAACAATTAAAATCCCCCAAGAAAAAAACCTGTCAAGACATCAATAAAAAGGGAACCTTTACTTAAAAAAGTAACTTTCCTCAGCTTATGACACTGGTTCACAGATGGTGACAAAATACCTCACACTCAAATAACAAATCAACTAATAAGCCCTTTCCTGGCTGTTGTTCTACTACCTTCTGCACTGACATTGCTTAAGTATAAAACAGTGCCCCTACACCATCATACGTACCAGGCTCTGAACGAAAAAGCGGGGCTCTTTTTCCAATCTCTCTGAGCTCCCGAAACTTTCTGCCTACAACATTGTCTTGTTTCCTGGATCCCCATTAGATCTAAATCTTGCCCCAGCAAAAAACAGAAAAATCATTTGCCTCTGGCGCATGCTAAGGAAGGAGTGAGCATTCCACACTTCAATTTTAATCCCATCTGTATAAAGGTTCAGGTCCAAGTAATCACAGTGAGGGGAGGAGGGGTGCAAGAGCTTCACTCCATAGGTTCTAATGGAAGAAATTACATAGTATGGCTGTCACATAACTTTGTATGGATTTTTGAAGGATATATGCAGGCTTGCTAGTAAAATATTTATTTTTTGAATAGACGAAATGGGACATTAAGAAATACCATCCAGGGAATAAACCACCCAGGAAGTAATTTAATGGGCTCCCCTAGAATGTAATGGTAAAGGTCAGTTCAGTAGCCAGTGAGGATCAGGCTTCTGGGCCAGCCTCCTCACAATTGAATCATATACTGCTGTCATGGCATCCTTGGATAAAGCTGCCATTGTGAGGAGGCTGGCCCAGAAGCCTGATCCTCACTGGCTGTGCCTGCCACATAGGATTTCTTCCTAGGCAGCCCCTCATGGGACCCATGGCTGGGAAGAGACACCTCAGGTCCCTCCTTATTGTCACTGTTCCTCTCTCATGAGATGCCTTGGTGTTCCATCATCAGAATTGGGACTTCCCTTAGTGCTGCTGGGAATCTCACGGCCAAGAAAAAAACAGATTCGAAACCTCTGAAGATTCTAGACAAACAAAAAAAAAAGCTTCTTTTTGGCCACTTTTCTCTCTGGTTGATTCATATTACAGAGGGAACCCGAGTACGACACCCCTCTCCACTCACAAGAGAAGGGGGCACAACAGGCCTGGCTACTGAACTGACCTTTACCATGACATTTCCAATACAGCCCAACTTTGGCAAAACTCCACTGTATTCCTGACCCTCTTCCAGACCCCATGCAAAGCATGATATAGAAGACATGCCCTTAAGCCACTTCCCAGAGTAAGAGGACCTAAGTTCCACCTCCTCCATACCAGGGGCTCCCTCCAGCAGCCGCTCCCCAACAGCATGTGAACTTTTTTGAACAGATACTCCATTGCCGTTCCCTCCACTCCATATCCTTCCCCACCCCCTCAGTGCAGTTCCTCACAGGTACCAGCTCATAATGTCAGCTGGTAGAGCCACAGGATCCACCAGTCTGTGCACCGTATCTTCTGCATCTCCAAACAAAAAGATGCGTCTATCGTCACATTAAAAGAACTTACTAGAGGAGCAAAGTCTCCTTCAGCCCCACCATCTGAGGCTGAAACAATATTGGAGAACTTTGTCTCTGGTCAAAATGACTCTTTAAGACAGAGAGAGCGCAAGAGGGAGGGTTACAATGAAAATGAGTAGGCAGCCTTTAACCATAGCTCTCATGAGTACGCCACCTACCGTATATTTAAGGATAAGTTAAAGTATAATTTGGATATTATTTTGATTTTTTTATTACTTGCCAATAGCATATTCAGTGCTATATATGACACAATGGAACATGTAATACCTGACACAGAGAGACATTCCATATAAACAGACAGACAAGTTTGGAAACAAAATCACTATGTTAAGTGCTAGCTTAGAGCATCTGTCTTTTTTTTTTTAAATGGGTTGGCAACAGCAGTTTTACTGGCAAAGTCTATAGTTTGTAGATCTCATGGAAGAAATGAGTTTTAAACATCTTAGTTCAATTGCATATAGTTGACGGCTCTTAAAGTTGAGGCTGAAAACAGTAAAGTTGCCCCTGTTGACAAGTCAGTTCCCAAAAGGCCAATAGTTAAGCATGGGCTGCTTTAGAGAAGACAGGTGTGAGTTAGTTTCCTGTTGCTAGGCAACTGGTTTCTAAGTGGCAGTTCTCCTTTCCGAAAGGAACTGTATGCTGTTCTGTCTGTGAGTGCTTACACACAATGCACTCTGATATGAAAAAATAAACTCCATTTGTACAACCAAAACATTTCATTCTTTAAGAAGAGAGATGAGCTGCTGCCCCAAAAATTCTCTTCTATAAACTATTATTCTTCGGTCATCTTTCCAGTTGTGTCAGTTTTTGTGCAATTAATCTTTCAGCGGGGATTTTTTCCCCCTCCTATACCTTTTGGTCTTATCTCCATCCATATTTAAAAGACTGTTGAATGTATGGATTTTGAACATACAACCCAAAAATCGGACATTAAATTACTCTTAATAAAAGTAATTTAAATGTATACCCAAGAAAGAATCAGATTTTTCTGATTGGCTTGTGAAGTTTTACAGTTTGATCTTGCTGTTTATTGTGAAATGTATCACTTTCCTTGTCTAATCTCAACTATCATATAGGGTTGCATTGAAATTGGAAAGCAGAATGTTTATCTTAAGGATCTAGAGATATTTAATATTGCATTTTATTGAGATTTGTTAGTATATTACCAGAAGGCATTCAGATGCATTAGACTACAGAAACAACCAGAATGTTTCTCCAGGATTTGAATTATTGGGTAAATTATCCTATTTGTGAATTCTTTGGAGTTTTAGAACATTTGTTTGTTGGAATGATATACAGTGTTGTATTACTTTAAATGGAATATATGGGCCCACAAAGTTAAAGATGTTAACATGACCCGGTCACTGTCCAACATTAAGCAGAGGGAAACAAAGTTCATATACAGTATACAGAGATCTATAATCTGCTTATTACCATGGCAAACACACCATTAAAAATATTTTTAAACTTTGATTAAAGATATAGAATAGAAAGAAAAACAATTTAAGCATTTAAGTGTAAAGTATTAAGTATGGCTTTTATTTTAACTCTTTTCCTTTTTCTTTAGCCATAGAGAGATTTTAAAAAGGAACCCCCATTTGACAGTTTTTTTAAATGATATTGAAAATGTTGATACCTTTTTTGGGGTGGGAATGGGGGAGAAAGTTCATTGAAGTGGACTAGAAGCTGTTATGTCTGATTTTAAAGTTTGAGCCTGTTTACTAGAATAGAAACCAAGATGGGAGACAAAAGTAAAGCAAAGATAGAAAATGCAGCTTCTGTCTCTCTTGTTGGCTTTTTCTTGCAATCTCACTGCTAGAAAATCACAGGTACAGCTCTGTTCCATTCCAAGACTTGGCAAACTTGTACCCTTGTTGAATTTGTTTATGACATCGCTTTAGCTGCTTCTTAGGTCACAGGCTTACAACGGTGTTCAAAAATCTATAGTCTTGTTTGTCTAAGCCAAACTCTGATTAGAGAGCAGGCAAAAGGAGAGGGGTAGGAAAGAGAAGAAATAAGGTGAGAAAGGGAAAAGGTGGGTGGTGGGCAAATAAAGACTTACAACCCTGCTGGTATTTGGAATGTAGCCAGAGCCAGTGGAGATGGTGATGTCATTTGGTTCCCTATCTCTGACCCAGTCTGGTCAGAACATTCATAATGATCAGGACAAAAAAGTTCCAATGGTGTTAGGGCAGATCCCAGAGGCCCAGGAGACAGCAGCCATGATGGGAAATCTTACTCCTTCCCTCTTTCACTGAACCAGCATTCACATGCAATTGTCCCCTCCAAGTCTTTTCTTTTAAAGACCCCAAAAGGGAGTTATGGAGCAATTAGGCTATCCCCTCATTATTTTATTCACCAATTATGCCTGATTTCCAACATTCCAGTTTTGGTTCACTCATTTCCAGTCTCACATTCTCTTGTCTACCAGACATAATGTTAACAAAGGCCTTGAATTATATTAGTAGGCTTTTTCATTTATACTAATTAAATATTTTTGTTTCCCTTTTGCACCTTTTTCTAGTAACATTTATTGCTATAGTTTATTGTCATGTTTTATGAACTTGCACTTAATTGTAAGATTGTAAAAAGTAAGGTAAATTTGTAGTCTTAATTATTTCAACAAGTACTGTATAGAAATTGGGGGTGTGTGGCAGGACAAAGACTCACCAGCAGCAGCACCGGAGGCAGCAAACAGGGCGGCTAACAGGGGAGTTTGAGAGGAAGTTCTCATTGGAGGAGAAGGTATCGGTGTTTGTGTCTGTCTTTGTTGTCCTTGTGTGTTTGTAGAGGCCTGCAGGGGCAGGGTGCTGGGAGGGACGCCGAGCCCTGATTAGGGGGCGGGGCTTGGCTGAGTAGGGGGCCCATAAAAGCGGCCACGCAGCCAGGCAGCGGCACAGCTGCGAGCAGCGGCACCGGAGGCAGCAAACAGGGGAGTTTGAGAGGGAATTTGCAGGAGGAGGTCAAGGGGGAGGCGGGAGGCCGCGGTGTGGGGCGTGCTCTGTTTCCCCAGGCGCCGTGGGCAGAGACTGCAGCAGCCAGGAGCCAAGCAGCAGCAGACAGAATGCAGATGGCGGCACGTGGGAGCTGCGGTATGTACATAGTCCTAGCAGGGGACCTGGAACAAAGGTATGTTTGTATGAAGTGTCGCCTTATTGTGTTACTGGAGGAAAAGATTAAGGGACTGGAGATGCAGGTAGATACCCTGGTGGAGTTCAGGCGGGGGTTTGAGCAGCTGATGGAGGACAGGCAAGGCAGGGCCGAAGGGGAATGCTCTAGGGTGCAGGAGGAGGCAGTAGTAGATGAAAGCGAGAGGGGAATGGAAGGGGGAGAACAAGGGAAGTGGAAGCATGTGACTGTGAGAAGCAGGCCAAGGAAAAGGAGGGCCAGTGAGGGGGGAATAGAACTCAGGAAGAGGTTTGGGTGCTTGGATAACGAGGTGGAGGGGCAGCAGGTGCTGACTGAAGGTGGGAGGGTGAGGAAGAAGAGAAGAGCGGCTAGTCCGATAGAGAGAGGGGAGGTGATGATGGAGACAGCGAAAAACCTAGGCCCTGAGAGGATAGATCAAGGCAAAAGGGGGAGTATAAGAGAAGATAGGAACAGACACAGGTCAGGACTAGAGGGATCAGAGACTAGATTACTAGATCGCAATGTTGCCAGGCAACGGCAGGTCTATGTAATTGGAGACTCTTTACTGAGGAGATTGGACAGGCCTGTGTCCAGGGCGGACCCGGAGAACAGAAGGGTGTGCTGTCTACCGGGCGCAAAGATACGCGATGTGGACCTGTGTTGTACTTAAAGTACTGCACAGGATCTTTTCAGGGGGAATAAGACAAAACACCACATTTATTAGTAATACATGTATTCATTAACACTGTATTATATGCATATAATATATTACACTTACACTCACACATACACACACAAACAAACACACTCCGTCTTGTTGTTACCAATTAGTTGCTCCCCTTAACTTCACTGGCCAGGTGAGTTAGATGGGGGAGGGGGTGGAGCCGGGCTTCTGCCGATCCAGATCGATGCTCCCATGTTGACAAGACGAGACCCGGGGTCCTCTGCAAGACACCTCACTTTTATGG